GTTTTAACGACACGGTGGGTCGCACAAAATTAATCGAGCACGATATTCTATTGAAAGACCCGACTCCTATCGCACTAAAACCGTACTCCTACCCCCTGCACAAGCAGTGGATTATTGACGATATAGTAAACGATATAGAAGCACAAGGGCTAATAAAACCGAGTGTATCGCCGTGGTCAACACCGATCGTGCTGGCTGAACAACTACGCTGAAACAATAGCGCCGCTGACAAATCTACTAAAAAGGGGGACGAAATGGTTGTGGACAGAAGACCATCAAAGGGCTTTTGGACAAGTTAAAAAGGCCCTAAGTGAGTCCCCACGACTGAGTCCTCCTGACTACGCGAAAACTTTCTGCCTTCAAACCGATGCGAGTGAAATGGGCGTGGGAGCAATACTCTTTCAACACGGAGATGAACCGGGAGAGAGAAGAATCATATCCTACGCCAGTAAGAAACTTTCAGAAACGCAGAAACGTTACGCCGCTGTAGAACGAGAATGCTTAGCAATTATATGGGCGACTGATAAATTTCGCCCGTACTTAGAGTACTCTCCGTTCGAATTATTTACAGATAATTCCGCGTTGACTTGGCTACACAGAGCAAAGGACAACAATTCAAAATTAACTAGGTGGGCGCTACATCTAGGTAATTTGAATTTTACAACGACACATGTACCCGGGAAACACAACGAGGGACCGGACATGCTGTCACGTTATCCGACCGCGGGGCCCTCTGTTGACGAAGAGTTACTCGACGACAATCTGGTGGGCGCACCGACAACGAGAGCGTCGGATAATACGCGGGCCACTCTTGACAGTGTTTTTGCCTAAACCGAAACAAACGACGCGTCAGATAAACGGCCGTTTACGGGGGGGGGAAATACAAGAGTGGCAAAACGATGACCCGTTTCTTTCATCCATCATGAAACAATTATTTAAGGAGAACGCCAGAAAAAACGATAAGGAGTCCAGCAAGAACAACAACGAATATTTCATGTCAAACGATTTTATACGTATTCGTATGGGCGTAGACACACCAGCTGTAATACCAGTAGCCAAATCACAACGTGTGATTTAGTGATATCACGATGATACACTGGCGTGTCTTCCAGGATGGAAAGAGACCTACCGAGTGATCAAACAGCGTTTCTATTGGAAGGGCCTGAAAAACATAGTACGCGAGTACGTAAAATCGTGTGATGTTTGCGCGTGTACAAAGGCCCTAAATAGGCGTCCGAATGATCCTCTAACTTCGCGCAAACCAAGACAACCGTGGGAGGTCATTAGTATCGACTTAATGGGTGAGTACCCCAGAACATCAAGGGGAAAAACGAACCTGTTAGTAGCAACTGACTGTTTCAGTCGCTGGACCGAAGCGCACCAATAGGCGCAGCATCTACAAGGACGATTGTAGACACGCTCGAACGCGAATTTTTCTCACGTTTTGGGTACCCCCGCGTATTGTTTTGCGACAATGGACGGAATCTGGTTTCTAACGAAATGATTAACACGATAAATAGATGAGGGGCAGAAGCCTGGACCACAACTATTTATCATCCGCGCGCAAATCCGGTAGAACGGAAAAATCAGGAGCTAAAAAAAGGTCTCCGCACCATACTAGTTGAGGGTGACCATAGTACCTGGGACACTAAAATACCGTCGATACTATTTGCGTTGCGTAATCATCGTAATGAAAAAACCGGTTATCCGCCTTCCGTACTCGTTCTCGGCCGAGAGGCGAAACAATCTGGTGACTGGGCAGTCGTACATGTAAACACGGCGAATGCCGACAATGTAAACAATAGCCACTCATCACCCAAACAGCAGGCCGGTATAATTATAGATAACGTTCCGACGAAACACGTAGTATAACCTTTTATCTAACAAACAAAAAAATTTTGTGCCGGCTTCGCGACGAAGTGGTGGGGCCCCGTTATACTAGCGGAAAAAGTGAGCAAAGGAGTGTCTCTAACAGATCAAACTCCCCCACGCAAACTTCACGTCTCATGTCTAAAATTAAAAATAGCCCATTAGCACTACTATACATCAACAACGGCCCGTACTCGGGCCGCAATTTGTAATTTATGTTAAGTTTTCTCCTAGGTCCTGACGTCATCCATTGGTTACGGATGATCGGACCGAATAGTTCATTCTCCCTTGCCGACCAGACTGACTGTTTCAGTCTAATACGGTAAGTCTTAAAACGTAATATCAGTGACCATCCACACATAAAAGGAACATGGTGGTAAGTCTACAATTGTTCATTACTTATAACTATTGTGTATGATGCGACAATTTGTTTACAAAAACAGCCGGGTCAGATATAGCTGACGGCTTGGTGGGGAGGAGTTGACACGGCACCGCCTTTTGCTCTAGGCTGGCGCTCACCCGTGTCTCTCTCGATGTCAGCCGTCCAACCATTTAATATGACAATCGGTTGTCATCAGTTGTTTCCCCGCCCTTGACACTGAGATAAGGCCGCCGCCGAATATGGATTATTGATATTGCGTCCTGTTCTTTTTCTGACGTTAACCTTGACTGGCTGGTCCGATATCTTGTGCTCTGGCATTTACGCTACGTTTTTGTGCGTTTTTCCGAATAAGATTTGTGTTGTCTTTCCGCGACTCAAAATCGTTTTTCCGGCATATATTATATGGTATATATATCTATATATTTTAATATAGATATAAGTTATTCACGATACTTGCTTATACGTATAATATTCCATAACACCACAGTTCGTCAGTGTTAGTTGCGAACTTATAATACTTGATTGCATTTTATTTTCCTTTGTGTTCTGTTTAACAACCTGTGCGCCCTTTTGGATTACGCATTAAAGTTATTGAGCATAATAAATATTGTGATGGTGTCACGTTTTCATAATCGTGAGAATTATTTTAATAAAATACAGACAGCACATCCGCTGCCTGAGACTAATGAATTAACAAATAATATTTATTGCCAAATCGGCAATAGTTCTAATTATTATAAAATCCCAATAGACCTGACCATCGTCGTTAGTCGACCCAGTGCCTTGTGTCATTCATCAGTCTCAGTACTCGGTTGTCCGGCTTACTGTTTAAAGTAAAGTCTTTGTTTTTTCCTTTTTAACCTATCTACTCTCTTCCACACATTCCAGAGTACTTGTGTCTTGCACGTCGTCTGCACCTCGTACTTTGTTATACTCCTTATATGGTACGCCTAGTATTTGTGTCTCACACTTCGTCTGCACCTCATACTCGGCTATCCCGTTCTCTCTTTGAAGTACTGTGTCTTGCACTTCGTCTGCACCTCATACCTAGGTGTTACCCTTATTTTCCCTTCCTATAACAACAGCCTTTCGACACCCACAGCTAATCCGGAGTGTCAGCCGAGCGCGGTGACTGCTGTACGACAACACGCACGTGAATACCTAGACAGCAGGAACCACATCCTCTCTCCAGTATACGTTTTTACATTTTACTGTGTTACGACAATATGAAAAAATTATTAAAAATTAAAATATGGGTGATTAAACTTAAATACTTGGATATTATTTATACGTAGGTAAATTTAACTAATCTAAAATAAATTAAATATTTGAAGCGGACTTAATAAAAAGAGAGCCATTTATGCATATCTAATAGTCTATAATAATATATTTAAAACCATTTAGAAGTTATTATTTTATAGTAATTTTCAAATGCAGTATTGTATAGTGTATAATCTATGTTTCAACTAAATTTCAAATATTTAAAACAATTTTCTTGGATTTACAAAGGCCTACAAAGTTAGAAATTTTATAAAAATACACTTATTCTAGTTGCATTATTTCTGTTGGGGAACTTAATCTCAAAAAAAAAATTTTTTTAATTTTTTAGTTATATATCTACCGTTGTACGCCATAGTTTTTATTATTTGTTGTTGCACATTTGTGCTCAAAGTTTTTATGCCCTTGCACGCCACTAGTAATTGGGCCCAAACTATCACTGAATATCTTCATTGTCGTAGTCGCTTTTTCGCCGTATGACCTCATCTGCCATTGCGTGCCTGGATCTACACTCTGACTCGTCTTACTCAGATGTTCGATACCATTACCACAAGATCTCATACAGTCCACTCATCACTATCAACTACTTCATCTGTTCAGCTGATTTTTATATTAATTTTTAATGTTATTTATTGTTTGTTTTAATCGAGTTTAACTATTTTGTTTATACCGCTTCGCCGGTCACTAGTATTTAAGGGCCCTATCTTACCCTTTAAATTAAAAATACTCTCGGAAGAATTTCTAATATATGTAATTACTTGTTATTTAATTATTGTCTATTCTCGTTACTTATTGGATGTACCGTTAGTCCTCATCCCCAATGGGTCACCATTCCCGCTTCAATAATTAGAGATTTAAACAGGCTTAATGTAAAACGGCATTCTAGTGCGGTGCACAATTAGCCGTCCAACGGACTAACTGCCTCGTACAAAACATCTACTTAATACACCATAGAAATTTGAAATTTGAGAAAAAAGTGTAACATGTAAAATTTAACATTAAAAAATCAGTTAAAATCCGATCATAATCAAATAGTTTAACAAAAAATTTTACTAACCCTTAAAAAATGAGGTCGTCGTGCAATCACTTGTGGATGATTTGGCATGGATTGACCCGGTGTCAACAAAAACATCATTTCAACAAAATTGAGAGTTAAGATCATAATCATAGATAAACCTCATCAGAGCGCATGATAAATAACATGAATAAAAACCTGAAAGTGATTTTATGTGTCGTGTAGATTTAGACATTGTTATTATCACGGGCCAGAAATGATATCGCGCTTAACCGGTGATTAATAGGAAATGATTTTAGTACATTAAAATTTATTTCGAAATAAGGCTACGGTCATTGGTTCACATAAAATTATTTATATTTTTATACAATTAACAATAAAATAACATGTCGAAAATTTAGAATGACACTTTGTGTGATATAATAACAACAGTTGATAAAAATGCTAATAAATATATTTCAATATCAATAAATGTGATTTTTAGTAAATACGCATAAATACAAATACAAAGAATGTTCAATATAAATAATTAGTAGTAAATCTATAATTAATACACACTTAAAATATTAGTGAGATTTCCGAGTTAAAAATTGACTATAGTTGTCATCTGTGTGACTTAAATAATTTCATTAATTCAACCATGCGTAGTTTATATACTCAAACTAAAATATTTTTATTACCTTAGATCAGGGATGGGCAACTCAAAGTTACTAGAGGGCCAACTTTTAAAAAATTAAAATCTAGCGGGCCAGAGCATAGAAAACAAAAAAAAAAATGTACATTTTAATTAGCATTTTCTGTTTATAATGTAATAATACAAAAAGGGTTATTAAAATAATTTAATTAAATATAAATAGATATTTGTTTAGTGTGAGTTTTGAGCATGGGTGACTTCTAATGACAATGCGGCAAAATCGACTTCTATTTCGGAAGAAGAAACACAAATTAGGTGACTTAAAGTTTCATCTGTAAGTCGATTTCTATGATTTGATTTAATATGTTTAATGTTTGAAAATGTACATTCACAAATGTAAGTAGTCCCAAACATGGATAACATTTTTAAAGCGAACTCTCGTAAAAGTGGATATTTTAGAATAGGTAATTTTTTCCAAAGCTTATGTCAATCCCTTTTGTAGATAAACTTTAAAATTGTATGTTGCAATTTGAAGATGTAGCGCGGGACGCCAGTTGCCCACCCCTGCCTTAGATGATCCCACAACAAACAAAACAATGAATAGAATCTTCAACAATTTACAATAATTACACAGAATAAAATGCCAAAGTTACAAAACTCATCCATGTGACTTAAATAATTTCAACCAAAACTAATCACCAAAATATACTACTAATATAATATAATATTACTTATGCTAAAGTATGGCTAATTACAAAAACAAAACTTTTAACAAATTTTACTTTAGCACAACGTGACACATAATTTTTACTAATTCGTACGGTAGACAAAAATTTAACTTAATAATACGTACTCTAATATATTTATACACGTATCGACCGGCAATGATCACTGGCCGATGACTCCCAACGTCTGGGTGTTTTAAGAAAGGTGAGTGGAAGGACAACCGAGTGAGCGCGTGCTATATACGAGTTCGCGTGTGGAGCGAACAGACATCAAGAAATAGATCAATCGATTCGTAAACCAAATTAAAGAACAATTTGTTTTAATTTATTTATTTTTGTTAAAAGCAAAAAGATATAATGTCAAATAATTGTTTCCATATTGTGTAAATAGTATTGAATGGTCATCAAATTTTTTTTTGGTAAATTATTTTTGTTCCTTGTTCGGAAATAGATTTAATCCTAGTACAGTATTTATGTATTGCGTGTTCATTATTAAAGTGTCGTCAGGTTTGCAATCAGAAGTAATATCCCAGTTCCAATATTGATCATTGTCTAAAACAGCATAATTTTTTTTTGTTTTCATTAATTTCCGACATTTTTTAAAATGTTTTTTAAATATTACATCTTCACACAGTTCGCCAGAATATGTAAACATTTTTTCTAAAACATTTTCAACACAATCCAGTGGTAGAGTAGAAATATAATATTTTTTAAATGCAAAAGAAATATTATTTAAAAGTTTTTTAAATTCATCTACAATCAATTTTACTATTTCATAATTAATTGTAATTTTGAATAAACTATAATATTGTTTAAAATCTACATTCACCTCCAATTTTTCAAGCATTGCCCAAACTTCAAGTTCAAACAAACAATATCTGTCTACTAATGTTAAACCAACGCTTTCCATAACATTCAGATAGTGTGTATAACATTGGATAATATTGGTATTGTTTTTAATACACGGTTTAATAATATTTCCTAATTTTTTACCAATGGTATCATCAATGGACACAGGAACATCTATTTCATTTTTTTGTGTCCAAGTCCAAGGTTTTTTACATTCTCTAGGGTTGAAATACTTAGAATGCACAACATCATTATCATCTATTATAGTATTTTCGTTGTAAGGCATAGGACAACGAAGTACATCTTTTCCTGTGTAATAATCTTGTTTTTGTAATGTCAACTGCAGAAATGCAGGATACTCCCTGATGAGTTTATTCAAATCATTAATAGTGATATATTGTTGATTTTCAGTATTCTGACTCAATTCATCATTAGTATAAACAATAATAACATTTGAAATTATTATTCTAAGTAAAACAATGTGCATTTTGCTAAAAAAATTCATTTTTACCTGTTGCTGTAATAGTCAAGTTATTCTTTCATTTGTTAACAATTTGGTTACTATGAAAAATCTATTGATAAAAGAAGGTTAGTAGTTTTATCGAAGAAAAAATTAAAATATACAATTAGTTTTGAAATGGAATCATTTTTTTCAAGTTTTCTTGGAAATATTAATATTTTTACGTCAAAAGTGTTCAATTATAATTTTTGTACAAATATTATTTGTGTTAACAATAATGATGATCATTTTGATATATATATTTAAATCATAATGACTTTATTTTTAAACTTTCGAAAACGTCATATTTGTTGTTTTGCGCATTAAAACATAAATAAATTATTCCAAATTTATAACATTCACACATGTTAGTACTTATTACATGCTATACACTATAGATATACTTAAAAACTACATTCAATTAATTAGTTAAATATACTTTCGCCTCAAATCAAATCTGAGAATATATTAAATTTACAATTATTTGTTTTTTTGTGTCTGCCATTAATTTTTCTCATCTCTCACTGAGCCAAGTCTTTTTTACGTTACTTCAAAAGATCACAAATTGTATCTAGTTAAAGGGATTACCCATAAAAATTAGAAAACTCACCTCATTCGCCAAGCATGGGAATCCCACAAGAAAATACTAATTTAAAATACGCTAATTTTTAAAAAAATTTTTATTTAAAATTGCCATAACATTATTAAAAATAATTTATAAAAACAATTTATAAGTATCAGATATGAATAAATATTTAATAATTTAGTGTTGTAATTTTTATGTAGAAATCATAAAAAATTGTATTTTAAAATAAACAAAATAAAAATAAAATTTGAACATAATAATAGCATGTTTTTAAATACGACATCCATTTTCACGCAAAAGACGAGATAGGACAAATTTTTTTTTTTAAATTTATAGTAAGTAAAATTATTTTTAATTTAACATATATTTAAAGAACGCAGTATTTACGGAACACTGTCAAAAGTTAAGTTTTAAAAGTTAATTTTTTGTGAAAAAGTTGTCATTTTGAATCCCCCCTGTAAATAGATAAAGCGTTTAAAAAATTATATCAAATAAAAGGAAAATACCTAAGGCTTTAATATAAAAAAAACCCAGCACAGGGGGGTCGCGGCACAGTGGTGCCGTGGTATAGTTGGATCAAGTATAATGATATGTGACAGTGATTAAAATCACTATCAAAAATAAACGCTTCGATACAAATCATAGATAGTGATTAATTTTAAAAAAATTGGTGTTTTATTCTAAAAGCTACATGATCTGCTAGCTCTTATTAATATCTTGATTAAGATAAAGTATGTCGAATGAAAAAGGGTTTATTATAAAATATTATTTCTCATAAAAAAAATTGTGTGGATCCATACACTTTTCAATATGTTATAGCTTTTGTAATATAGGTCATTATTTTGTAAAACTGAAAACAAAGCATTTTTGTAATGTTTGGTTTAGCTATGAATTTCTTGATCTATTATTACAAAAATATAATATAGTCTAACATTTGTAAACTTAGAAGTATAACACTTATGTAATGTTTAGATTAATTGTAATTCCCCAAATTATTGTTACTAGACCAAGAAGTAAATATTTATAAACATTTTTGAAAATGATTACGATATGAATTTTATAAAAAGACAAATAAAATATTTTAGTATATAAGATGGAATGAATTGAAAGGAAAGAAAGAGAAGACCTCGAGAGTACCGAAGGTAATCTCTTTCCGTGTGGTTCGTTTGTGACATTAAGTTTTTATTTTGTGTATTATTTATTTATCCGGTTTTAAGTGTATCAATATTTTATATGTTTTATTTTGATTGATTATATCTTTATTAACTACATTTTGCGTTATTATTGAACTACTAAAACTATAAGTTAGAACAAAAAGATTGTTCCGTATTTAAATACAATACTTTATAAAGTTAAAAATATAAAAAATAAAATCGAGAAATTTCCCACAAAAATAGCATTTGGTAGACGTTTTCACCACGAAGACATGTCCAGAGGTCAAAATTTTTTTTTTAAATTAAAGTATATTACATTAGCATTAATTTAAGATATATATAAAAGTGTCAGACCTTCCGGAATATTTTCAAAAGTTAAGTTGAAAAAGTTAATTTTTTGTGAAAATGTTGTCATTTTAAATCCCTCCCTGTGGACAGATAAAGGGTCAGATTTACAAAAAACATATACTAAATGATAAGTAAAGACATAAAGCATCTATATAAAAAATATTATATTGATATGTTCGTTTTTGAAAAAATTACGGCATTTTTTAGTAAATAAAATTGAAAAAAATTCGAAAATTAGCGATTTTTAAATTTGTCATTTTTTTGGAGGTTTCCCCCATTTACGGGGAATGAGGGAAATTTTTTCAATTTTTAAGGGTAATGTCTTCGACTAGATACGATTTGTGATCTATTGACGTATCGTTGAAAGAAATCGGTTCGGTGAGAGCTGAGAAAAAGTGGTAACAGACATACCAAAAAAAAAACACATCATAGTAAAACCAATACCTTCTCAGCTTCGCATTGAAGCTAAAAAAATGTTTTTCAATATGTTACGACAATTTTTAGAAAAAATTTTTTAAAAAATGTTGAAATTTACCGATTTTAAGAATTGTAAATTTTCGGAATATTTCCATTATTTACAGAGAACGAGGGTAAATTGTAACATTTGATGAATAAACAGGTTCAACATATACACTAGAAAAATGATTGGCAAAAAACTGAACTTTTTCTTCATTGTTTGAGGATAGAATTTGATTATAAGATACAAAATCAGGAATATTTGAATTTTTATTCATTTTTAAAGAGTTAATATATTTCCAAAAATCAATATAATTTTTTTTTTTATAGACACCTTAGATTTTTACCTGTCATTTTATATAATTTTGTAAACATTTGACCATTTAACAGCCCACAGAAAGGCTTTCGGAGGGTTCTTTTATATATATCATAAATTAAAGCTAATTTAATATACTTTAAATTGAAAAAAAAAAATTTGACCTCTGGACTTGTCTTAATGGTGAAAATGACTTCCGAATCCAAAAATATGCTATTTTTTTGAAAAAGTTCTTGATATTATATTTTACATTTTTTAACATTATGTTGCTATAACTTTTTAAAAAATGCATGAATCAACTTTATTCTTTAATGATAAATACTTTATATATACTTCTTTCATTCGACATACTTTTTTTTAAAATCGGACCATTTCCCTTTATACAGGGGGGGTGCAAACCTTTTAAAATGCGTATAGAAAGTAGAACTTTTTCAACTTAACTTTTGAAAATGTTCCGGAAAGACTGACATTTTTATATATCTTAAATTAAAGCTTATGTAATATACTTAAATTTGAAAAAAAAAATTTGACTTCTGGACTTGTCTTCATGGTAAAAATGACTACCGTANAAAAAAAAAAATGTGACCTCTGGATTTGTCTTCATGGTAAAAATGACTACCGTATTCAAAAATTTGCTATTTTTGTGTTAAAATTCTGGGTTTTGTATTTTATTTTATTTTAAAATACCTGACAAGGGGAGTACAGAAATTCATAAATGCTATATAAATTAAAATTAATATAGCATATCAAGTTAAACTTATTTAAATTTGTTAGCTTCTTTTAAGTCGAGAAAAATAACTTTGAAATTTGAACTAGCTTAAATAGCCAATTTCTTCAATCGACGGTACCAACGTACGGTTGCCGAGTTGGTAAAACTTGTATTTTACAAGCTTGGGGTACGAGGTTTCAACCCGCGTATTACAATGAATTTTTTGCATTTTTTCTTAATTCTTTTTAAGTCAGTATAAATTTTTAATTGTTTGATTTTTATCACATTTAGATTCAATAACTTCAATAAAGATCAAGGATCCCATAATTTTAGTCGCCCCTTGTAAGAAAAAATTTCTTATTCGTATTAAAATTATTTTACTATATTTTAAGTTTTAGCTTCGATGCAAAGCTGAGATATTATATTTTTGTGACTATTATTTATTTTCTCTGCTCTAACTTGACCTACTTTTTTCAACGATACGTCAAATTACTACAATTCGTATCTAGTTGAAGATATTACCCTGAAAAATTGAAAAAAAAATTCAATTTATCAATTAAATAGTTAGTTATTCCATGTTCTTCATAAAGATAATTAAAATCATTCATTTCTAATGTTTTCAAAGTATTTATTGACGAATTACGTTTGATATGATAGGTTTCAACTACAAAATTTAATCATTTTACTTTGTAGTTTAATAATTGTTTTACTCTATTTGTGTGTGCTACTACTAGACTATAATATTACAAATTTTTTTGTAACATGTTGCTATATAAATCATTTCTAAAAAAAATGATTGTTTTTTCTCCTGAATTAACAATTGATTTTTTCAAATATAATCAAATTTTAATACGCTCAATTTAGTAAATCTTTTAACAACTTTGTTTTGATTGGTACATTTAGTCAAAGTAAATCATTAAAATTAATTAAGTTCTCAATATTTCAATTGTAGAATCTTTTCTACAAACATTTATAAAAATTTACAACAATCAACTGTAATAATTCAAAAATAACGAATTTATTGGGGAGGTTAGGGTGTTTTGACCAAGATTGGATATTTTGGGGATTTGGTCAATTGGTGAGCAACGAGGTTCTATCGGGGTTGTAGAGTCCGAGGGTTCAGAACAATAAAGACAAGTAGATATAAAAAGTAATAAATGAGGTTCTTCTCATAGAGATATTGTAAATGATTCAACTAGTAAGTACCTGTAATAATACACTGAGGCAACGAAGAGGCGGTGGCCATCTCACGAATACCCAGTCGAAGTGTTATATATATACAGTAGAAATCACATTAGGTTTTAAACTCTTTTAGGCAACGAAGAGGCGGTGGCCATCTCACGAATACCATGTAATGTGATTATGTATAAGGTCCGAACTAGTTAATAATAATTAATTGAAGTTTAAAGATTAATATAATTATTTGATCTATTGCTTTATCGTTCTATACTCAGATTATTAATTCCAAATAATTGAATTATAAGATAATATAAGTATTGATTCTTAATGATTTAAAGTCTTACCTGAAGATTTTTCTTGTTCTAATGATAACTTTTGACAATATCAGGT